CCCCAAAACCCCAAAACCCCAAAACCCCGTTGATTTAAAATATGTACATTGCAATTAAATAGTATTAATTATTATATTAGAAATGAGAATAAAGCGTCTAAAAAAATACAAGAAGTTTGTGAACTTCTACAAAGTGGTCTACAAATTCAAACCCCCTTTCAAGATTCTATTAGACGGCAACTTCTTCCACCAGGCAGTTTAGAATGAGTTCAACCTGCGTGAGAACTTCTATAAGATTTTGGCAGATACCCCTGTCTTCGATATCTTTTGAATGTTTTGTATTCCGATATTTAAGTCTAGTTAACTCTGATACTTATGACTAAGTGTGTGTTAAGAGAATTCGAAACACTCGGTCCATCTGTGGTTGGGAATACTTTGAAGGAAGCCAAAAAGATAGTCAAAGAGTCTTGCAAGCACCCTGGTGGTATACTTCCCCCCGATGAGTGTATCAAGATCTTTATTGATAAAAAGAACGAAGCAAAGCATTTCGTGTGCACCAACGACGAGGAATTGAGAAACGAGCTGAGAAATCTAGGCACAGTGCCTATATTCTTCTTCAAGCATAATATACTAGTTATGGATTCCCCGACTGAGATCACTGAGGAAAAGCATAGGATGGTATGTGCCGATATTCATAACACTTGATATAATATAGAAAGAGCAATTGAAGAACGAACCCACCAGACAGGAAAAAGTGTTTTTGAAGGAGCAATAAGAAGAGATTAAGGAGTTCCAAAAGCAAGAAAGGGAAAGAGAGGCAGCAAAGAGGAGATTACAAGTCAAGGATCTTTATTGGTAAATAGCTATGTGATTGATAGTAATATAGCATGGGCATCAAAACCAAACTAGCACTAGGCCCAAATCCATTGTCAGTTAAGAGAAAGCTAGGCGGGGGGAGTGATGGATCTGTTTTAAAGAAGAGGAGAAAGCGCTCTGGCAAGAGAAGTAAGTCACTAAGTGAAGGCAAGAGATAAAAGCTAGATGGAGATTAGCCTTCTTAATAACAAGATCAAGTCACTAAAATTGCTGCAAGCATTTGACTGTAGATAATTCTCCAGCAGAATCATAATTAAACTAATTTATTAATCTTAATTTCATAAAAGATTAAGCAATCAATTGATATTCTAATTACACTATCACAATATATAGCTTTTTTCCTATTCCTTGAGTTTCCTCCACATTTGGAACCCAACTACTGCCACGCCTAAGAGCACTATCATGAGCACATAGTCCATAAGATCATCTTGGCCAAGTTGGTTTTTAATGTCTCCATGACTGCGCTCTATTTTCTCATTGATATGCTTGTATAAACTCTTCTCTATTCTATGCAATGCCTCGTAGTCGATCTCTCCTGTTTAGCTTCTCTCCTCTATGGTTTGTCTGCGTTGCTCTATCATAGCTGTCAACTTGTCCTTCTTCATTTGATTCTCAAAAGCAATCAGAGTTGAAGCCACGTCAACTAATGCTCCCTCAATTTTCTGCTATTCTACTCCAAAGCGCTCCAACTTATCGTTCCTCTGCTAGATCTGCTTCTGATTATCCAATATATTCATTTTTTTATTAATGAGAGCCCAGCTATAATTGTATACTACTTCTAGCTGCAATAGCTTAGCACTCTACTCCATTAGAGTGTTAGTCATTTGAAGCACAGTGATATCTTTTGGAAGAGATCCAAGTATCTCTAACTGTGACTCTTTGTTCAGAATGAAATTGGCCATAAGTCTGGTGAAAATGTTGTTGTATCTGATGATCTGGATATTATAGCCCTGCTTAGTCTTGTTCAAGCTGCTGAAGTGGCCTGCCTTGGCGTGCAAGATGTCTTCTCCTTTTCTAACAAAGTCTGAGTCCTTAATCCTCTTTTGCTTCAGCTCATACTCTTGTTTCTCGATCTAGGAATCCAAGTCCACAGTAAAAATGGAACTAATGTAATGGAAGTTGCTTATAGCTTTGCCACTTAGAGCTGAGATGAAGAAGTATTTCTCAAAACTCAAGTCTGCCTGCACCTTGAAGCACTCTGTGTACTCACTATCATTAATCTTGTCCTTGACAAACACTGTCACCATGCCATCTCTGCTGTAGATTCGTAAAGATGCGTCCAAGAATCCATATTTGCACACTTTAGATTAATCACTATGTATATTTTGAAATTACTTGAAGATCTTTAGTTGTTAATCTGATTCCCTTCTTTATCGTTGTAAATCGCAGATATCTCATGCATTCTCTGAGGAGAACTCTATGACATGGATATAAGATTATTAGAATCAATAGTGTTTATAATTTACCATTCCTTATAGCTGCTTTCTGACTACATTTTCCTTGATCTCTATCAATAGTCCGTGAAAATTTAGGTTAAGTGCTTTCGCGAATTCATGTGAAGATTTCTCAGGAGAGTTTTCTAGGAAGAATATCTGCATAGCTCCATTTGCAAGGGGTGATTTTTTGTGATTAGAGACCTCAAAGTCAATTGTCATCTCAAAGTTTTTAGTAGTGAATGACTATATAAGTAGTTATAAGTTTATCAAGTATTAAGTTTGCTTCTAAAATTACCTAATTGTTCCTAAGGAGACCAGTCTTATCAAAACCCTGTGGAGTTAGAATAAATTTACTCTTTAAAAACACTGATGTTCCCTAATTGGCAATCCATTTCTCAAACACCTCTGAAATTATTAGCACAAATAAATATTTATTACATTTGGTTAAAGGGAACTTAAGATTAAACTGATCTATGGGCTGATTAATTAGTTCTGCCGAGTAAGGAGGCATTAGCAGGGATAATGATATAAACACCCCTACCAAGGTATAAAAGATTTTATAACTTGACTTCATTATTCTAAATTATAATCTTTTAATTTGCAAATAACTTGACTTGCGGGGTTTTGGGGTTTTGGGGTTTTGGGGTTTTGGGGTTTTGGGGTTTTGGGG